AGAATGGCTAAGTCAAGACAGGCATCGCGCCCGGGGCAGAACCGTGGACAGAACACAAAACCGTGCAAGTTTCTTCCAAGGTTTTTCTTATCTTTAATACTTCGACACAGAGGTCAAGGGTGAAAATATGGTAGGTGAAGCGTGTTATAAACGGTTATCCACCTCGAGGTGATCCAACGCCCAGATGTGACCCTGCCCACATCCTGCGGGGTCGGATCCAAGTCCCAAGTCGCGGGGTTTGCGCCTGTCAGAGCTCATATAACCAGTTCATAAGCAGCCGCCAGCTTCGTTAGTGTGGGAGATGATACGGATTAATTCCTGATCGGCAACGTCTGCATCTGTCAAAAAAAATAAAGATAAAAAACGGCGTAACTTGGATCTTGGTAGGGCAATGGTGATCGTGGTGAAAAATCAGTTGATCGGCATCAAACACTCCGATGATTTGTATATTATGGGGTTCCAAGAGCGGGACGTTGACAGGAATAGGATTTTTTCCGATGTATCCAATCACCAAAAGTGACAGAGGTGATTGTGTTGCGGCGGGATGATGCAATTATGCAAGGCGGGCGTCTACTGCAAGCCATCCAGGCGTATAAGAAAGTTATGGATATGCGGTGTCGATGGAAACCATGTTGTTTGATGCCCAACATCATTTGAATTGCTATCTGGGTGAGGGTTTGTTATTTTTGAACTTAACCTATTGTACAATTGCACTATTGCACAACATAGGTGGACATTGGAGGCCAATGCCCTAAAAGCGCCAAAGAGGGACCCATCTCCACCGGAACGGCAGATCCACTCTGGAGGGACGAACTGGCTGCTGTATAATGGTACATATTTTGTAATCGATAGACAATATACAACCTATAGAGGCGGTAATTGCCGACTTAGTGTGGATTGCAAGTAAAAGGAGAAGGTATAGGATAATCTCCGCCATATATTGCTGTTAATTGCACGTTTCTTAATTGGGCCGTGGCTTAAGCCAATCAATTTCCTGGTAGAGATATGATTTAGTAGCGTACCAAAGTCATATATATTAGCACCGAATTGGCTCGAAAGGAGAAGTCGGTTTAGGGAAGTAACAGAACGACAAAACTGTTATATAGATCAGGCTCCAATATATATAAGAAAGCAAGTAATAAAATCAAAATGAAGCACAGAAACTTCCCAAAAAATGAACTAAAAAAGGGAAAGTAAATATAAAAGCAATCTAGCACCATTCAATGGCGCGCATGTCCCCTTTTTCTGGCCCAATCATCAGTTTTCTCCCCACTATCTCCTGAATTTCCCTTTGCCCCTTCTTTCCCTTCTACTTTTTCTGTTTTCTTTAGAAAAGAAACAAGATCTTGTTTATATTTTAAATCTTTTGTTTACCCCAGAACTTAAGATTTGAACTAAATAGGATTCTCCACGAAAAGGAAGAAAAGAAGAACCTTGGAAGCTCCGTGGTTTTCTCCATTTATTTCTTCCCGCCAGTTCCAACCTCCCGAACTCTCTCCCCCTAATTCTCCCTTTGTTTTTTTTTTAAAAAAACAGGACTTGGGATTTCGCTTTAAATTGTTCGGCGATTCCTTTCTGATTTAATATCTCTTTTTCCGTTTCATTTTCTCGATTTGAACCTACCTCATAATGGCCTCAAAGGTGAGATTTACCCAATGTCCTCTTGACCTGTTCTGAACATTCCCAATGGCTAACCCCGTATTTACCAGTTCCTACGAGAATACAAGCTGGTGGTTGTCGGTGGTGGTGGCGTCGGAAAGTCCTGCTTGACCATCCAGCTGATTCAGAGTCACTTCGTGGACGAGTACGATCCTACAATTGAAGGTGAGCACTTCGAAAGCACCCCCCGTTTCATCAGCCGCGCGGATCGTGTCGCGTTTTCCCAGGGGTGTCGGACCCCCATTGAGCAACAAAGCTGATTCAGAATCTTCTTCCGCCTACAGATTCCTACCGCAAGCAGTGTGTGATCGATGATGAAGTCGCTTTGTTGGACGTCCTGGATACAGCAGGCCAGGAGGAATACTCGGCTATGCGAGAACAATACATGCGAACCGGCGAGGGATTCCTGCTCATCTACTCCATTACATCGCGCCAATCCTTCGAAGAAATCATGACCTTCCAACAGCAAATCCTGCGCGTCAAGGACAAGGATTACTTCCCCATCATTGTCGTCGCCAACAAGTGTGATTTGGAGAAGGAGCGTGTGGTCTCCGAGCAAGGTACGTTTTCATCATATGTTCCCATCTACATCCAACCTCCCCTGAACTCTCCCTCTCTCCACTTGAGCTCTTTCCTCGAAGCCTAAATCCAATTCCCCAATTCCGCTAACAATTCACCGCGTACAGAGGGCGAAGCGCTCGCCCGCCAGTTCGGCTGCAAGTTCATCGAAACATCCGCCAAGTCCCGCATCAACGTCGAGAACGCCTTCTACGACCTCGTCCGCGAGATCCGTCGCTACAACAAGGAAATGTCCTCGTACCCGTCCGGCTCCGGCGCGTTCGGCGCCCGCGCACCAGAGGGCAAGATGGACGTGACCGAGCCGGGCGAGAGCGCCGGCTGCTGCGCGAAGTGCGTCATCATGTAAAAAAAACACACCAACATACCAACATACCAAAATGATCCGAATCGCTGCGATGCCCTTATCTCGAAACAACCCCGAAATCCGAAATACGCAGCACAGGCCAGGGAGAGTTTACGGGAGTGGATTTATATGTCCGAGTGGTGCACCCCTTGGAAAAGTTGGATATCTTGTTTTAATCTTTGAATGGCCTTAATCTGCAACCCCCCGCCACTCAGATCACAAATGGGAAAATATGGAGACTGCAAACACGAAAGATTGCAAGCTCGAGAAACAGAAAACAACCAAACCAGAAAAAAATACCAAAGAAGAAGTGGCATTGTCGTTTGCGTTACGGATGTTTGTGGGTTCTTTCAACTCGCATTCTTGATGACTGCCGACCTTGACGCCCAACCTCGTCTCACGAAACATTTTGATTCCCCTTTTGTTGTCCGATTGCGCCTTTGTTTTAGTCCCTTTTTTTTATTATTGTCTTTTTATTGTTCAAGTCTTTGCGAAAGATCCCTGGTGTTTGTTATCTATCGCCTCCTATTATCATTATCCGTGTTGCTCCCACGAGACAATACGGCTGTCAATATATGTTCTTTCAGGGCAAGGTGGATTCCTTGAGTTCCATCATTGCGGCGTTTACCCTTGTTCTTGAGTATGCTTGTCCTGGTATATTGGTTGTTTTATCTATGATCGAGTGCTCTGCGTATGAAGATATATGCCCATCTATCCCCGATGGTGCAATCTATTCGTTCTGATCCCTACGGCTACTGCTTCAATATCATCAATGTTGACAAATGCTCCCTGATTATAGACCTACTATGGCAGCTACTAGATCATCGGCTGTTCTTAATGCGGGAAATCTCGCTCATAGCTTCGTGTGGTAATCTAGCCTCGTTTATATTAACATGTTTGACACTCAAACTAGCTGAAATATGCATGTGGAATGGGTATGCTCTATATGCTGCCGGTATTTCAAGCGTGGCAGTTCACTCCCACCTATGCGATAAACAAACTACTGGCTGTAGACATGCTCCGAGTCGGACGGGGGATCCAACTCATCCTCCTTAGCAACCCGCTTGCCCTGAACATTCTCCTCAACCTCACTGACCAACGACTCCATGTAAGCTTTGTCCGCCCCGACCAAAGTAACAGTATTGCGCTTTTTACCCCAACGAGGATAGCTGCCGACCTTGATCCCCCGAGGCTCAACCTTGGCCGCCAGCTCGGTCAGGTACGGCGCCACCGCACTCTCGGGCAACGGCGTGCTGATCATCAAGCGGAATGTCCCCTTGCCTTCCGGGTCGCTCAAACGGGGAATGAGAGATGGCTTCAAGCTTAGGAGCAAGCGCTCAAAGAGCCTCGGCACGCCGGGCAGGATGTGCACGTTGCCGTTCACCACTGCGATCGGCACCCACAGGTCGTCGGCGACAAACACAGCCTGTGACTCGGGCGAGAGCTTCGGGTCGAAGGGAAGCTCGACCATGCGCAGCTTGGCAGTCAGGCCTGGTGAGGGTGTATCCCAGTCGAAGTTGAGTTGCATGGGGTGAGGCTTGGAGAGGCGCTTCATGCGCTCGAAGGCCTGCTGGTGGAGTTCCAGCTTTAGGTCGAATGCCTTGGCGATTGCGGAGTATGTGATATCATCGTGTCTGTAAATGATATATGTGTTAGCTGTGGGTTTTTTCTATGAAGCGCCCGCGTTGCTGGTGTGCATGCGTTACTCTTAAGACGTGGAGAAACTAGGGACGGGGTTGTAACGCACGTGGGCCCGATGCCGCCGCTGGTGACGACGAAGTCGTAGCGGGAACTCATTCGTCGTACGGCTTCTATTATATCCTCTTCATCATCGGGGATAACCTCGACTCGCTTCAGTTCGATACCGAGCGAGAAGCAGAACTTGGCTAGGTACGGCGAGTTCGTGTCGATGGTCTAGGGGTGGGTTGGAGTAACGTCAGAATCCTTGTTCTTTCCATGATGGACCCTGGGAATATTTCAAATTACCTTTCCACCGAGAACCTCATCGCCAATAATGAGGCATGCTGCCGTGTGGATGGGCTTCGTATGCGCGGCTGATGTCATCGCGGAGGGACCTGAGCGAGGGGACAGGGACGGGGTCGAGAAGGAGGGGCTGGTGGGACGATAGGGACTGAGTGGGCGTGATAAGTGTCGCGTCAGTAGATTCAGTCGGTTGAACATAGGGATATAGGTGGAGGAGTAATTTGGTGTCTGGGTAGTTCAAAGCGCGGAGGAAGTGAAGTGGGGGAACAGGGAAACTCCGCCCGCATTTCCATCGTCTGGCCTCACATTCCTACAGCCTTCTCCATTTTTCAGGTCGGAGATACCAAGTACCATCTTTATTCAGTGCATTATTAGCACTAGGCTCAGGGCTTTCGTTTACTTGACTTCTCTGCGTATCCCACAGTTGACGTCCAAAATGGTGAGATGTCTCCCCGCACTAGGTTGATTGGCATAGGCCATACGAACTGCTCGCGAGGTTCCCCCATCAAGTGCTGACTGCTGAGCTATGGTAGTCTGATTCACGACTATATTCGTTCTCTCCCGAGACCAAGGAGAAGCTGCGCAAGTTCCGTCTGGGCACATCGAGAGCCAAGGATGCGCAAGCTATCATCTGTATGGGCCCCTAAATCTGCGCTTTCCCAAGTCTCCCATGCGTTTTGACAGAAGCTTGGTTATATAGCACGTACACAGTGCCAACCAAGCCATATCAACATTATTTCTGCGTCTCAAGCTGACAGGTGGTGCGTGATAGATATCATTGATGCAAAGTCTCAGGAGATCCGGCCACAAGACGATACAATCTATTCCAACATGGAAGATCTGGCCGATGATCTTCCTGAGTCCTCGCCACGATTCATCCTCCTCAGTCACCCCATGACCACCGTAAGTTGTCTATCAATAATGCAGACTTGGTCTCCGTCGTATGACACACGTACTAAATGAGATATGCACTCACAGAAAGACGGACGTCCCTCAGTCCCCTATGTTCTCCTCTACTGGCTCCCGGAAAACTGCAACCCGATGCAACGCATGTCGTACGCAAATGCAGTGGAACTGATGCGCACCAGTGCCCAAGTCAACCGGGTGATTGAGGTGGAGGCCGATGAAGATATCGTCAACATCAAGTCCAAGCTGACCGGGTCGGATTAAACCGCCTAGGCTAGTGAATACATCTCTCTATTAGAGAGCATGTCTGTCAGTGGATTGATGAGCATATACCCAAGGCGTGGGATTTGTATAGAGGGCGTTTTTTTTTTTTTCGGGTTTTGCGGATTGGCTGGATCCTATTGGCTTGTAAATGCCGCCCATGCACACACAGACACTTCTGTGGGTGTCGAATGTACTTCTGGAATTCGAAATCTGACATGCACTTGGCTGCCTAGACTAGCCAAATTCCCGGGATCTCAAGCTGGCGTCGATCACACAAGAGCATGGTCTCTAGAACGGAATTTGTGATCTATCAACCAGATGATTTTCAACGGTGCAGTTCATATACTCGAGCTAGTGGTAGATCTCACGAGTTTGTGTACTCTCAAAACCTGTCTGAAGCGAGTGGCCAAGGCCCATCGTTCGGGGAGGCCGGTGCTCACCTAGGCTCAGTGGGCCTACGTTGCAGTCAATTAGCTAGCATTGTATGGCTAAGGGCTGGATGACAAAACGCTTAGAATAGATTTTTTTTTCTTACCATTGCCGTCCATCATTCACGAATGGCCGGTTCTTCTAGCCAGAGGGGCGTGCCCTGCATCTCTCCAGCTAAGCCATCGATCGCCGCCAGCCACGGATGAAAAGCCAGGCTGATCGATGCAACTAGACCCAGTGCTCATCAAGGAATCAACCCAGCTAGCCAGCACAAAAAGCCTTGTAATTTCACAAGAATTTTGGGGGCCGATGATCATCTTCGTAGATGGTAGTTCATACGCTCATATGACTTCACTAGTCCCGTCATGTATGTGGCCGTGAAGAAGATTCCGGGTCTTCTGGTTGATACAATTGGCGGTTTATTCCTGTTTTGTTGCGATGTGTTGGTTAAAGTGGACATGCAACATGCATCGGAGTGGTTGATTGGTCCCTCTGTAAATGTGATCGCCCACTGCGAGATGTTCTTACTCTCCACCGTTCGATAAACTCTGATTTTCTTCTTTAGTCGGAAGTTGATCGGTTGGTTTGGGGCCTGTGTTATACAAGTCGGCTATAAATTCATGGGACTGATACTCGTCGAGGCGTTGCTTACTACACACGAAAGGGCAAGCTTGGAAAAATCCTATACAGTTTGTAGATACATTGCTACTACCATGTACTTCTCGAATTGCTTTCCATTCCGATAATTCCATCAAATTTTTACAATTTTTACACCGTATAGTGATACTAATATCAATATAGTTCATATATTTTGTAGTACCCACAGGAAGTTCGGAGTACAAAGGTGAGAAAACAACAATTTGTGCGATCTGGAATGGCGGTGGCAAAGCGGGCGTGTTATCCGCGTGTGGCTTTACCCCGGGGCCATTGCGTCGGGTCAAGTAATCATGCACGATAGTTGGGACAGAGACCTGGAGTCTGTGTAAAGAGAGGCGAAAGTATATCTAAACAGGTTGGAATAATATAATGTTTTAGAGCATCATTAGTATACATGAAGTGTAGAGTACTCTTCGGGGCGGATGAGAGGGCACGATTACAAATTACAGTGCTCAGGATACATAGTATTTATGTATTGTTCCATTCTGTGTATCAAAGTACAATAGTACAATATAGGTCTATACTTCCGTGTACATGGGCATGGGACGGATCATTCATGCTTACTGCATGCAGAAGGTCCCCTGGGATACTCAAGTACACTCAATGAGTATGTTCCAGACACGATGTGTGATTGTATCCAAGTACATGTATCTACTGAGTACTAGATTAGCAGATTTAAAAATAATAAAAAACAGAGGGCCTGATATTTCAAATCTCTGATATCTTTCAACCTTGGAAGGCCAAGCCAGTACCATGGATACAACTTACTATACACACCTGGGCAGCACCACAGCCCTGGGACTAGCGATCCGACCGCCAAATTTACTCCACTCTCACCCGTCCCACTAGACCCACTTTGGCCAGGGAAATTCATTTCCGTTTGCTGTTTTTTGTTTTCCTATTCCCCAGGGGCTGGCTCTAGATTGTATAGAACATTATCCCGGGTTTCCCAGCTCGAGAAAGCCGTTTTAAGCCCACTTTCATGTGCAGGGGTTCAAACCCGACAAGGCTAAGGACAATTGGCTTAATGCCCAGTGAGGGACAAAATTCAAAAATGGGATGGATCAACGGTTGAGTTACGTTTGCTACTGCAGTAGTGCATATCCTCGGGTCGAAGTCGCTTCCATTATGGAGTACGAAGTACTGTCAGCATTTTGCTTTTCTTGTTATTTGATGGATTTCATCACTTGCGGAGTAAATCGTGAATCGTCAGACGAACTGCTCGTGTTTATACTTTTGTACTTTGCGCTTTGGGATTCCCGTGTCATGCATCATGCATGCCCTCTTCTGATCCAATGGTCGGAGAGATGCCCGTGTGTCAAAAATTCTTTCTTTTGCCACCTTCAGTATGTTGTACTAAATTGATTGCATAGCCTTCTGGATTCTGCATGGACTTCTTCAATCCCAGGTATCAATACTCTAGTCAGCACTATAAAGTACACTACTGTACAAACGGAAAAGAAAAGATACCCTATCAATAAAAATTATGAATTATACCGAGTGCATATGAACACTTATCTCCAACCCAGTAACATCCAGTGACAATCCTTTTATCCATGTTGTACGATGTACTCTGTACATCGTACAAGTTACTAGAGTAGACAAACGCCATGAAAAGATCAAACTCTATCCACAAACGAATTCGGCATATCCACAGCAATTCAAATCCCGGTTTCAAAGGAACTCCCCAATGCTCCTGATCGACTGCAATAACCTCGAAGAAATTAAAGACACGCTCATCACTCATGTGCCCCTCAACCATTTTCTCCCCGATCCGCTCCCACTGATAGACCAATAAGTTAGCTGTTTGTGGAAAGGCAGCCGGGATGGCGGGTGCTGCCGTGGGGAGACCTGGAGCCAGGTGTCACTCTCCCCGGTGCCCCCGGCCCACTTGTGGACTGTAGGCTTTATTGTATGCCACGTCCTCGGTCAACCGCCGGGGATGGAGCACTACATAAATGTACTAACTAAGTACAAAGTACTTCGTACTTTGTTTACTTTGTTACCTTTGTACTGAGCATGACGAAACATAAACGTTGCCCCGTGAAGGTAGTGTAAAGGTAGTTCAGGACGGGAGGCCAGACGAACCAATGACGTGCCAAGAAACAGGGGGCCCCATGTCCGATGTGCGCCAGGGGCCAGTTAAATGGCACGCTATTCTCGGATATGAGTTGTTATGGAGAAAATCTCCTGAAGCCACAGAGAGTTTTGAGGTCAAAGCCATTTTCTTTTCTTTTCTTTTCATGGTGTCACCGGGTTGGAGGAGAAAGAGTGGGGATGCACATCAGAGACTAAATAGGAGATGTCAGAGTTACCAGGGCTTTTTACCCAGATATCATACGATCAATACTTGATACTTAGTACCTCCCTATAATGGTTAGTATGGAGAAATACTTGTCCTTATGTATTTCTCCATTATTCCCGGAGAAATAGCACTTTTATAGTCTACAAAAATGAATAAAAATCTAAAATAAAAACACAAAAACAGTTTTTTAAAGTAAAATAAAATAAAATTGAAATATTCAATGGTATCCCAATCCATCCGAATCCACAGGACCACTGTATCGGAATCCCCACGTCTGAGCTTTGGGCTTTTTTTTATACATTTGTTATACAATACCTCTTTTCGGTATTATAGTCTGATTCCTGATTTGATTCTCTATAATAATTGGGTTGTCCCTACTTTTCCCTCCTGTCAACTTCTGCACGGAAATCCCACCTCCGGTCCACTTTGATATCATTCACACTGGTCATATTTTGCGTGGAATGAATCCCGACACTCTGGGTATCAGCAAAGCAATTGTCATTACATTCTAGTTCGGTTGAATAATGGCTCAAGATGGTCATTCCGAAGACAAGCCGGAGGGCTTCGCTAAATACCTTAAGCGTATGAAGACCGTCCTTCGTCCTAGGTCAATGTCCAAGCGACAATCTATAACTCCTGGGGTAGCTGCCCCAACCGAAACTACGTATGATATACAGCATTCTTCAACTTCAGCCCTATATACTAACTAGCATTGCCTAGATATAGTGCACCAGAGGCAACATCACCACCTGTAACATCAACACCGGAACCAGCTCCAGCTCCAGTGCCAAACCCAGCACCAGTTCAAGAGCTCAGCCAGCCAGGCCCAGTCATGATCACCAACTACAGCACGACCCAACATGAAAAGGCGCGCGCCCTCTTAGCCAAATACGGCCTGACCGTCGACACCAGCGACTGGAAGACACCCCCGGACTTCCAGGTAACCCGTGTAACGAAGCCAATCCGCATGCGAGTACGCCGTACCTGCCATCGCTGCGAGACAACTTTCGGTGCAGAGAAAGTATGCATTAACTGCCAGCACACCCGCTGCACAAAGTGCCCCCGACACCCAGCCGCCCGCGACAAGGACGGCGAACCATCAGCCCGCAAGCCCAAGCTCCCAGAGACCTACGTCCACCAACCCCGCCTATTCCCCAGGACCTCGCACCTCAAGCTCAGCACCACCAAGGAAATTTCATTGAAGATGCCGTCCCCCACCGGTGGCCGGGATTTCGTCCGTCGGCCGGCGCGCCAGCGTGTTCACCGTTATTGCCACTTCTGCGCCTCGCTCTTTACCCCCGGCTCCAAGGAATGCCCGAGCTGCAGCCATGTGCGTTGCAAGATATGCCCACGGGACCCGGCTAAACTTGATAAATATCCTGATGGCTATGCGGGAGATGCTGATCCGCCAAAACCTAAACCCGAGCGCACATTCAAGAAACCTCGTCGCAGAGTCCATTATGTTTGTCATGTCTGTGAGACTTGGTTCCAGGGTAATGCGAATACTTGTTCGAATTGTGGTCAGGAGAAGTGTGATGAAACTAAACGAATTCCGTACGTGTGATATCAACTCTACGACATATGTGATTTGGGATTTTCAGCTAACATTCATTTCTTTTCTATGCAGACCTAAAAAGGTCAAACCAGAAACAAGCCCTGAGGTTCTCAGGAGCATTGAAGAGAAACTGGCAGCTATGGCGCTTGAACACACACCAGAAAGTGTTGAAGGAGCGGCTTGAGCTTGGAACACACACATTAAAGTCGACCAACACAACCCTTTATTATATCCCCCGTTTACCACCACTGATTTTATCTCCCACATTATCCATACTGTCTCAAACTCGATCCATCCTGATTATATGCTTTATTTTTATATGTCGGGGTTCTACCCAAGACAGAACATACGTAACATACACATCCATGGGATCGCATTAACTTCTGCACATCGAACGAACCCATTTCTCTAACCGGGGTCAGCTCCAGAATTTTGCACCGGAACTAAACCACCAGCACCCATCTTTCCAGATTTATGGGTTACACATCCCTGCGCATGCACACCCAACACGGATCCAGATGATGTATACATTCCCAAAACGCCCAGGGGTGGATGTGCATATCGTATAACTACTACCTACTACATTGTAAACATACGGACGCATGGCTTGACGTACACATGTGAGTAAGATAGTACTTTACGCGTCCGCAGCTGTCAGGAGATAAAACTCGGCGGCAATGCCAAACAGGGACATAAACTAGGAATTTCCACTTCGCCACAAAAATAGACTGTATCGCGCCCAGTTTCCGTTACCCGGGGATAATACACGTCATTCTACATCGGACATGATTTCCACCCAAAACAAAAGAACGATGCAGCAAACCCCTTCCATAAATCCTAACGGCGTTTATCCATAGCCCACGCGGGGCTTAGTCTAGTCCACATTAATGTTCCTACGTCATGCGATAATGTGGAGACATGCATGTGCAATTGCCTCGTCTAAATCGTGCATCATGTCTACATTTTGCCTTCTATCTTCTATCTGACACCCATTTCAATGATTCCAAATTCATCCCGCCTTATTCCCCGGGCTAACATTTACTGTCAAATTGATGTGGGTTGCCCAAACGCCACAGAGGATGAGCACAAACCGGAACTCTTTCCGTGGACGCATTTCAGATAGAGGAGCGATTTCGGCCGAAGAGGACTTACATCGTACCACATATGAAATGGAGATACAGTTCTAACCTTGGAGTATTTAGCGTTGTAAATGACTTTATGAAGGGTGGATAAGTGGGAAACACAGCCCGTGTGGCTCCGTTTGGACGGTCCGAGCCTTTTTTATTGTTTTTTTTATATATAGACTGGACCCAGTTGAGAATGGTGCATTTATTTGACAGCGGGACAATTACCAAGCATTTGGTACTCCGTTTTCCATGCAACGTTGTACTGATTAGTTTTTGTTGGAAGGATTGTTTTCCACAAGAGCGGAGTACTTAAAAAGCCGTGAAGTCAGACAATACACGATACTGTATAGTGGGGCGAATAGGACGCAATGTAGGGAATCGGGTAATGGGTATTGGCCTGGAGAAATCACCCATAGCCGCTGACATCTCGATTTCTAAGGCTTTGAGTTCAGTCAGACAGCTTCCTGTTGTAGTATAGATCGGTGTACTCCGTCTGATGGGGTTGTGGACTTGAAGGTTTGAAGGGGAATGATATTTGGTCGTATTTGATATTTTTGAAAGATACGAATTAGTTTATGATTTGACCAGACTAGTTAGTTCTCTAAATGGTCCGGTTCAAGATCTATATCCGAACAATATATGTTTTTTTTCTTTGCTTTTTCCCGCTAACAAAAGTACCGTACCCCCCTGTCACTTATCCATAATTCCGGAGATCCCCCGTCTTCACCACGGAGTAACCGAGTATGTAAACTACTGCAGGGAAATGAATGGACAGGGCATAAACCCGGAAGTCCGGATACGGAAAGGCTACCCGCTGTCACAACGCATTATTGCACAGAACATCCAGATTGTTGGGTCGCGGGGTCTGCATTTTTCTCAAATCCCGAGGTCTGGACACGGTCTATGTACTCATCTGTTCGGTCAAAAGTACCTGAAATATGCACGGGGGATAATACGGCCAATAAGTCAGGGGGAGAAAGGTCGCTTCGGAGCAAGAGTGGGCAACCCGGCTCCATAGCGCTGGGAATTGAGCGGCTGGGTAAAGCGGACGAAATGTGTCTTTTTTTTTTATTGAAAAAAATTTAATAGTCGCTGGGGGGCTGGAGACTAGAATCCATTTCAACGGTCAACTAACCCAATCAAGAAGTTATTTTCGTCTTTTTGTTCTACTCCATAGTGGGTGAGAGAGAGTACGCCAGCTGGCTGAGACCGGTCAGGCAAAAATTCTTTGACGCGCTGTCATTACTGAAATCTACAGAATAACAGAAGTTCCACAGTTTTCAATACGGTAGTCACTACAGTTCGAAGTATATAACTTGATCTAGTATATTGTGGATGATCGACGGAGTATGTGAGAACAGGCTGTCATATTGGAGCAACCGTTCGGCTAATCTATTCAACGAGGCAGCCCCTCTACTTCATCTAGATCTTGGCACGTCAATAACCAGGATGTCGGATTGCACTATGCCACTTTCTAATTTAGGAATAATGTGTAATGTGTTACATGGTATCGCCCACGGGTATTTGTATTGAAGAGGACACTCCATACTCCGTACAGCCGTGACAGAGGCATTATCTTTTATTTCCACCCGTGGACAGTATCATCAAGACCAAATATGATAAATATAGAAGCAGGGGTCTTTGGGAAGGGTCTAGATGTCCCCCACTAAACTGAACTGTCCTTACCAAAGCACCGGGTTGAAGAATTGGAGCTGTCATATCATTAGAAGATTCGAACTGCCCGTTTGAATATTATATTTTTCTTAATCTACTTAAAGTTTGTCTCCGTGGGCCAAGGGGCTGATTTAGAGTAGATCCTCTCGCCCAAAGAAGTGTAGTATGTAGTACATTTCTTGGGTTTAGTGGATTCGATTATTTCTACTAGCTTTACCCCTTGTCGAAGCTATCATTTTATGCTTCTATCTTCTATTCTGATGGGAAACCTACTCCGTACATAGACGTATGATCGGCTATCCTAATTTCAGGGATGTGACACATACAAATATTCCCTGCTAGAAATCTTACAGGAATTGGTACCTTCCCGATTTGGAAGCCTTGGGGGTGAAGTCAGGTGTGTTATCTTGTTCGTATCAGTTATAAGATTATCAAATGATAGGAATATTATACCTATATTGACGTACGTATATGTACTCCATATTATGGGTATAGATTATCTATAGAGATGGCCCCTTTTCTAACGGGCTGTCTACGTTAACACGTCACTTGCAAACGCGTTGAATTCCAGGTAACTTATTCCAATGTTCCACATATACACTATCCACAAAAACCTCAGATTAATGCTAAACCTTGATCCTCCGACTCAGCTGCTCGGTCCCTGCAGACTTCTCAAAATCAATATCATTAACACGATCCACCCGACGACCCAAAGCCCGCCGAATGATCCAGTCCTTGCTATTAATTTCTTCTTCAGTCTGACCATCCTCCATTGCAGGAATCATATCCGACCCCTCCAACCGATGCAACATCACACTATCCTCGGGTCGTGCAAAGTAGACGAGACTGTACCGCGTCGACTCAGCCTGGAGCCCTGGTGGTGCCACAACCCGGTGAATGTTCGACCGAAACAGCCCGTTCGTAAACTTGACCATTGCATCCCCAAGGTTTACAATCGCATGACCAGGAAGTGGTCTGACATAAACCCATTCGGCATCGGCACCGGGCGGTAGCACTTGCAGTCCCCCAGTCGGTTGAAAAGAACCGTCACGCTTCCAAAGTCGGTGTGCTGCCCCAACGCGGTACGTCTGTCGTCTACTGGCTGTGGTGCGGCTTTGACGAACCGCACCTGGTCACCGCTTACAGCTTGTTGTCGGTGTAGATTGGATAGCGTGCCTTTTGGTAGGGCAAGTTGGTCATTCAAGATGTCCAGAATTAGGGTTACGATTGCATGTGACCCGTGCATAAATGATCCCAGTTGAGCTCGGCTTCTATGCAGGGTCTCTGGTGCTGGCAGAGGATCACTGATGCCAATAATATCGTCTTTGGAAACCTGTAGATAGTTGTGTTAACTTCTGTGAAGTCTAGGTGGATGTGCACAGTGCTGACGTACATTGTAGAACTCGTTCCGGTCCAGGTTCCCCTGTTTGTCAACCACCGCGGCTCCCTGCGCTTTATATCCAAAGTAAGAGTTCTGTCCACTGAAGTCATACTCCTTTTTCTCCTCGAGGCTCAGCTCAAATAGTCTCTCGCCAACTTGGAATAGATCATCTGCATCGCCGAGGAGCGACGAGCCTTGATCTGAGTCTGATAAATCGAGATAGAAGAACCCAATGTCTGTGGATGCTTGGAACAGTCTTTTGTGCTCTATAGGGTCACCTGCTAGAAGCTTTCCCGACGACAGTCGAAGAAGGGGGGCTGTAGAGACATCATTTGGGAAGGGTGGAATCCCTGGGAAGTTATTAGGGACGTCCTTTTGCTCGGTCTGGCGCTGCATGTTGATATAAGCAAAATCAGGGGTGTCAATAATAGAGAATAACGATATCAAAAGTCTTCTTGCAGATGTTTTATCATACTTCTAACCCGCGGCAAGAGTGTAGGCTCTAGAATATATTTGACCTCACACGATATATGCGGGGAAGCATCAGAGAGCCGAGGGACGATCTAATACCAGTTACTAAGAGGGTGTGTAATATCCGAGAATATATCATAATGTATGAAATAGAAATCAGACTTGGATAATGTCCAAATAATGTATATAATGTAAATAAAGTGGCTATTATGCCTTTAATCTATAGATGGCCTCCATATCTTATCGGTGTGTGACATCAAATAATTTTTCTCCAACCTCCAACATATTTCATGAACCCCCAACTCTCAGTCTACCATCCCTCCTGGCTCTAATAAAAAGAAAGCCTGTATAAAAGCTACACCAACATTCAAGATAGCACAAAATGGCTTCTTCGCCAGCCCCGAAAACCCACATCGCGCACACCCTTCTCTCACGCGCCCACTCCCCAGACAGCGCAACACAACAATTCACCGAGCGCATCAAACAAAAACCACTTTTCCTCCGTGCAACCTCCCCCTCAGCATCCGACAACCGGTCGCGACGCCGCCTCCACCGCCTACGAAAGAAGGAATACTTCCTCCGCCACCAGAAGCCGCAACCGCTGTCAGCGCGCGAAAAGCGCAAGTCAGGGCTGTACGACCTACCCAAAGAAGAATGCAAATATGCCATTTTCAAGGGCTTGCATGAACTATGGGTCGGATATATGCAAGAGATCCTAGATGTGAAGGCCGGACCTCATGGCCATGTCTCGCCGGCGTCGCATGGAAGTAAGCTTGTCAGTGCAGATTACCATGGGGCCGAGGTCGAGGTTGTCAGGAGTGGGTGTGCTGGGAGGGTTGGTACTAAGGGGATTGTAGTGCGGGATACGAAGTTTACATTCGTTATTGTTACTGAGAAGGATGAGATGAAGAGTGAGTCCTGACTCGTTGAGTGGGAAGTGGGAGGGATTATGCTGACTTGGTTCTCTTTGTACAGCTATACCGAAAGAGCACACTATCTTCCGGTTCATTGTCCCCGTGCCAGCACCGTCTGAGGGCGCACAGGATCAGCAGACTCAGTCTGATGCGAAAGCTCCCAAGCCATTGGTTTTCGAGCTCCATGGAAACCAGTTCGAGAACCGGCCTGTGGACAGAGCTAATAAGAAGTTCAAGTGGAGGAACATCGATTACATTTGAGATGGCGGTCATGCTGTCTGGTTCTCGTCCATTCCCTAGCGGTGGAATTGACTGCTCAAACGTGAAGCGGCCTCGAGCGTTTCAAGTACGCTTGGCTACCTGCGCTCCGGATCCGAGTCTTTGATATTCGAGCTCCATACCGATACTTTGGGTGTTCTATCAAACTAGACTCACTTGCTTCACCAAGCCCACCGCATGATACCACAGCGTGCAATGTGGCGCCCCAACGCGGAAAGGCACACATTCCCTATCCAACAACGAAAAGAGCGCCGAGCACAAGATTTTAGCTCGAATACCCCATGAAGTCACCAGGGAGGACGGTCAAAGGACGGTCAATTGGATAACGATGTTTATGAAGAAATTTTACGCTTTATCTCCAATAAGTTAATTAGAAATAGGCGAAACATACTATCGATAAGTGGGAGATAATACTGCAGATTTACTAGGACAATCAGCGTAATATGTAAATGTTCATTTGATGAATAATTTTCTGCGAGTGGCATCATAGTTATATGATATGCTTTTTCGAGTTGGGCAATGCATGGATAGACCATAGACATGTCAATCCTTCTCAGCCACATGTTGTTGCCCTCCCAAGCCTCCTACCTGAGTCGCTAGAAGGCGAAGCCATGGTAGACCACCTTTGAGGTGGGGATATCGGGATCCTGTTGATCGAGAATGATCCAAATCGCCGGGGTGGTTCTTTCCCAGGTTCAATGAGACCAGGCACAGTTGGAAGTCGCGCATCTGGTACGAGGAACCCGAAAGTAGGCAAGAACGACTCGGTAGCGTCGTGCAAGAGTTCCATGGAACTCTTGCGGCGGCAAACCAGAGCTATACGCCTGATAGATTGGAAATCAAAATAAATGAAGGGTGAAACCCTTCACGCCCTTCATCCCTCACATTCCAGCCCACTCAAGACTGAAAGCTCTCACAGTATCCACCCGATCAGCCTCTGAATCAACCTCATCGATCTCCTTCTGTGCTCCGCCAACCAAGAATCCCTTCTTCACACCAGTGCCCAGTCTGCCACCAACAACGAGATCCATCAAATTGATATTCTGGTCCCAGTCATAGGACACCACGAGGAAGTGCGAGTGGAAGCGCAGTGGATCACCCGGGTAGGCCATGTACTGACACCCGAAGCGCAGGCCGGGAGAGAGGAAGTATCCCTTGGAGTGAAGGTGGGCGAAGAGAGGATATGAGGGTGGAACCGCGGGTGCTTCAAGGTAGCTCGAGGGTGAAGGCGTGGGAAGAGGTGGGTAGGATGTTGCGGGGGTAATGGCCGTTACGCCCTGAGGGGGTATGCTCGATGAGGGGTTGGATGGAGACGATGAGCGATCCTCTGCGTTGAAGAGGTCAACGATGGCAGCGTTTTTCGGCGACGGTGTGGGAGCAACCTCATCAGGAACCGTAGGTGTCTGGGCGGCAGCGGCAGCGGTGGCACTGGCTTTGGCCTTGGCGTTCGCTTTCTTTTCTTCTAATTTCTTCAAGGTCTGTTCCCGGCTGCGCTCTTTGCGATCCAACTGGATGCGCGAGACGTGCAGACCTTGGGATTCGAGGTCGCGCAGGTACCGTCTGCGGTCTTCTTCTAAGAGGGTATTCATGCCGTCGTGTGCCTTGGCTTCGTCTACGATGCAAGCTACACCCTTGTCCACTAATAGCCGTGCCTCCTCGGGCATCAGCTGCAGAGGGAGACCCAGGAAGACATTCTGCTGAGGGATCTGGGGCAACGTCCCGATGAGGACACCGCAGATGTGATGCTCACGTCGCAGGTATGTCACGGCGTCAATTGAGAACAACAGGTATCTACCGGATACATAGGAGATCGGAATGGGAAGGTCTGGTTGGAAGTCCATTTTTTCTTTTTTTGATTTGAGATTTGTGGGATTTGTTTCAAAGATTCTGTGACAAGGACGGTTAGCGCTTGTCCAATATGCAAATATGCAGGTCGCCAGCAAGGTAAATTTGGGTATCGCGATTCATTTTCCAGTACGTTTCTCAGCAAACGCTCAGTGACGTATCAAAGAGCTTCAGGGGATTGACAGATTGTAGTTAAATAATCATGCGAGGTGGGGGGTTAATGGGAGACAGGAGGGTGAAGCTTACCATTAAAGTATTAGAGTGTCGATAACATAACCAAACACCTAAAATTGCTTTTGGATTTGACCAGCAAAGCCAGGGTTGATTGAAGAGGGAAGAGAAGAAAAGAAGAGCAAAAAAAAAAAGAGAAAAGGAAAAGCTGAGCTTATACGCTAGCCCTATTTAGGAATAGTTAATCTTGGCAAGCGAACTGCAGAGCATCGCTGTTATGTTTATCATCATCTTCATTGGCATTCGTTGAGTATTCTATATTTCTTCTTTTATACTGTGGCACCATGGGTTTCTTGCTACTGCTGTTCCTGGTATTCTTTGCACCCCTGGTACTCTTTGTTGGTCAGTATTGCGCAGCATCCGTTCTTAGTTCCGACCGCATTACTAACACCGAACAGCATGGCTTGCAGCTTCATCCTGCCTGGGGAATCGCCTCCGTTCTGTACGGCCAGGATTGGATGGATATGGAGCAAGTTACCTCCGCACAATGGCCAACTCGGGTCCAGCTATGTCCGAGCAGATCGAGATGGACGACATGCTAGCAGAACCAGGCACCCATCGACACTTCGAGGAGGATGATTGAGTCTAGGGAATCACACCAATCATCAAGCATCTCAGAATTCAAGATCGGATTTCTTGGGCTTTCCGCTGGAGGCCGACGCATCTTGTGCTTCTGTGTCTCCTTCGGCTGGCGGCAGGCTGAATGGTTTAATCTCGAATCGCCGGCGGCTCAGAATAAACGCCCAATCCTGTCCAACATTTTGATCGCTCCCACCTCCCCGCTCGTGTAAAACTGGAAGTCGATGCGTCTTAAGCATACCCTGTGGTGGTTCTTCTTGTGCGGTTGCTGCTCCCGATGTAGCCATGGCATCCGCAGAGTGCGGGAAAGGACAAAGCTCAATGACGCCGTCACTGAGCAGTTCGATCCAGCGAACTAACCCGGATGAGCGGGGGTAGAGAGACAGAGGCATGGTGATCATTGCGGTCACACGGGCGCTGTGGGCACTCATCAGCGCCTTGAGTGCGTGGAAGAACTGGAGCACATGTTCGGGTTGGCAGGAGTTCGGTGGGTAAATTGTGGGGTTGAGCAGAGAAGGAATGACGATACGGTGGATTGTATTGGCGGGGCTGGATGTGATTGCCGTCTGGAGCCGTTTGAGGATAGCGAGGAATGGTGACTCTTTTGAGGGCATAAGTGGGATGAAGGTCATATTTGTGATAGACGGATGGGTGAGACGTTTTGTGAGATCGAAAGCATGACAGAAAGCGGGCGCTTCTTTTGCTGCTGTATCCTGTTCCCCAGGATTAGTCGGGGCTATAATGATCAGCATATTGAAGCTAGAAGCAGTGTTTTGTTTCAATACTCACCACCCCGCGAACCAGCGACGGCCCCAAACTCGCCTAATCGCTCGTATCGCCATGCAATTTTCATGCGATCATCCTTGCGCCTGTCGGATCTCTTCTCGTCCAAGGACTCTGCCGAGCCGATCAGACCAGGCAAACTTCGGCCCCATTGCTCTGGCACTCCAACCACATGAATCTTCTGCTCTTGGATGACACCCTCCGCCGCATAGTAACGTAGCAATGCGCCCGCAAAATCCGTAGTTCCGTTTTCTTCAATCAACAGGAGCTTTCCCATTGGAAGTCCCGCATGCCCTGCAAGAAGATTATCTAGAGAGCGAGTCCCTGTCGAGGTTGTTGGCCGTCCATCATCGGGGGAGGGGCGAATGCCCGGCGTGCTCTCAGGCGCAGTCGGCTGTGCGGTAGCATTGGGAACAGCGTTGCGATCAACTCCAGGAGAAAGGCCGATGTTTCGCTTGCGAAAGGACATGACGAATAAGTTCAAATGAAGTTAAAAAAATCCTAGTAAAGCTATAAGAAGCTGATGTCAAATTTACGAAATCGTTATCGGCGGGGACCAAAAGGCGGCAGAAAAAAAAGCTTCAATTCTCCGATCAACCTCTCCACCTCCGACTCCAACTCTTCTCTTCACCACTCTCGCACCACAAACTAGCCATTGCGGGTCTTTCAACTTACGACAATTTGTGTGCGATCATCCGCGCATATTCTGCCCTACCAAAACCCACATCTATAGCCCGAAAAACCAGCGGTCGCAACCTTCATCATGTCCGACCCGCTCCTGTTCGAAGATACCTTCACGATCACCTCGATCAACGCCCAGAAGTATGACCGCGTCTCCCGTCTTACTTGCAACTCGAACGATGCCTCCCTCACTTTCACCCTGGACGTGAACACTGAGCTGTACCCATGCGCGGTTGGCGAGTCGCTGTCTCTCGCTCTGGCCTCCACTCTCTCTCTTGACGGCAAGGAGGACACCCGCGCCAGCTGGAGGGAGGTCAGCATGGGTGATCAGACCCTGGCGGATGACTACGATTATGTTTGCCACGGGAAGGTGTACCGCTTTGAGGAGGGTACCACCAAGGATACCATGTGAGTTTCGCTACTGATGTGTTGGTTCTTGCGGAAACTAACGTTTACATTTTCAGGGCTGTCTTTGTGTCCTTTGGAGGTCTGCTGCTCTACCTGGAGGGCCCCTACAAGAAGCTTGCTCCGTTGAGAATCGATTACGTGTACTTGCTGCTTAAGAAATAGGCTTGTCGTTGTTGGAACTCTCTTTTTTTTGCTTACGACCTTGGCATAGGATGAGACGGATCTTGGATTGATCTTGAGGCAAAGCCCGAATGGGGGAAAAGTCGGTGTATTTAAGCCGGACCGATGTTCATATCGTTCTTATGGGGTGCAGCGCAGGCGTTCTTTGCATTTTGATTTGGGAATACCAATAGATTATCATAACAAACATGATTTTCATGGGTTTGATGAGATTAACCTTGGCCGTTCAATAACCAAAACCAGTCTCGGGGCAGGTTTAACTCCGTATAGAGCTGTAACTGGTGGTGGCAGCCGCACAGTGTGCCTCGGCCTCTTCCACCCAGATCCCCAACCGATCCACCTCTAATGGCTCATTTATTTCTTAATTGCGCTTATAGTAGATGGTAATGCGCTTGTCGCCGTGCTTATCTCGAATTATTTGCTATATCGGGGTTGCAAGTCTCATAAAGGCTCCCTTATCGCGCAAATGGGAAAAGAACTCCCCCGAGTGCAGATCTAAATGCGAAGGTAAGTTGATAGGTTTTATGTTCATAATCTCTAACCTATATCTCAGTTTATCAAACAATTTACCTCGCACAATGCGAAGCAGTTGGGTACTCCAAGCGACGATGCAATCTAGCAACAATCTGCAAGTAATCCGGCTCATTCTCCGGCGTCAGCAGCCCATGTCTGACAAAGAAATCAATCATGATATTAGCACAATTAGGCTTGAACTCGCCGCGCGCCAAAGCCGCTTTCACCTCCGGAATCGACATCAACTTGAATTCCTCAACCTCATTGTCCCCAGGCTTCGGAATAGTCTCAGCGTCAAGCCTTAGATCGTATATGTACTCAACCTCAGGCTGAATGAGGCCCGTTTCGCCGCCCGCCCGCACATCCCGCACATGCGAGTACGTAACACAGCCCGCGGAGCGAGTTGCAGCACGCACCGCCGCCTCAGGCAAGGAAGCCTCTTCCATAGCTTCGCGGACGATACACTCAAACGGCGTTTCGCCGGTGCACATGCCGCCGGCGACGGTATTATCAAGAAGACTTGGGTAGGTCTGCTTGTTCTTTGCGCGGCGTGGGACCCAGATCTTGTATCCGGATTCATCCTTCACGTAGCCTGTTAGATGGGCGCCGTACGAGACGATGCCGAAGAGCGGGGTTGCGGCGCGCTCCATCTCGAGTAGGAATTCTCCACCCGGGCCGTAGACTGCGTAGTTCTCATTGCGCCAGCCTTTCAGTACTTCGAATTTGTTTTGCTTCACGGCTTCGACTATGTCGGCTGCGACGAGCTTGCTCCGGTGTGTCGGGGTGGCCCCTGCGGGTGTCACTAGCGTCACGGTTTGCGCGGTTGAGTCGATGGCCCAGGTTTTGTCCGACCAGGGAAATTTCTCGACTACTGCATTGAGAATGTATCCGAGTGTACAGTCGTATCCGGATACTTTGAATGCATGGTAGTTGTTCAGGTTCTCCGTATATGCGGCGCGATCATCCTCGTAGTAGGGGAAGCTGCGGGGTGTAAGACGAAAACGCAAGTGGAAGGAGCAATCGAGTTGGAAAGCTTTACTTATCGCATTCGCCGACCAGGTCTAAATTGGATTTACCCATAATGACTTCACTTCTAAATGCAGAAGTTGATCCCAATTGTGAGGTATAGAAGTCTCAAGTTGATATGCCAGACCTTTGTTTAGCCAAGCCAAGCCCTTATCGGCTGACGATAAGGGCAGCCCCTCCTATGTCATTTCATCATCGAAAAACAGGACAAAGAGAAGCTTGAAGAAGCTTGAAGAACTGAACAAAGAATCTTGATCGCAGCTCAAATTGCCAATTTCCGCTTCACCGGCTGCTTAAGCTACCTCCAGATCCTCCACCACTACCAACACCCATCATGTTCTCCGTCGTGGTCCCAGGCCGCCCGTGTCTAACAGACATTGTCGCGATAGACAGCCAACCCAATGGCCAAGCAACCAAATTCGCCTTCACAATCCCTCTCAGCGCATCTCTCAATGACATAGTCGTCTTCTTCCTACCAGGAACAACCCTCCCCCCAAACACCGGCGCCGCAATCTACGCCCAACTCCCAGACCCGAACACAGGCCAACCCTCCGGCTTCCGCTTCATCGGCGCATTGGCAAATGAAAAGCCTTCAGGCATCTTCACTGTGCGCCCACCGGGCAGTGTACCCCACCGCTCAGAAGCCGAAGAAGAGGATGACATGCTCGACGAGGGCGGCGCGAACGGTGCTGCAACGGGCGTCTTGACACTGGGCATTTCGATCGAAGAAGCGCAAAATATCGCGCCGCAGCTTGCTGCCCTGGAAGCGGAGCGTCCTTCGGGTCAGACGTCTATGGCGCTGGTTCCACAGGCTAGCGGACAGAGACAGATCTCGACAAAGGTGCTGGCGCAGCGCATTATTGGCAATGCGTTTAATTTCCTCGCTAGCTTTGCGCAGAATGATAAGGGGCAGGATGTTGTACCGCTCAAGAGCTTCCATAATTGGTGGGCGAAGTTTGAGCGTCGCATTGAGGCTGATCCTACATTTTTGGAGCGTGAGGATCCTAATGCTTGATCTGTGGGATCTGCGGTCTATAGTATTTGAGCATTGGATTGGCTCTTTTTAGATTGCATTTGTTCTCGACTCGCTCTCAGCGGGTGTGCAGCGATGAGTACATGACATCTCTTGCATGTATTGGTTAACGAGTCTGTTTCTTAATGTGTGACGATATTCTGCTTTTTCTCTGTGACCTACTGGAGTTCATCTCATGTATTAACAAGTGCTGTTTTGACTTTTTATTGATAATAATGCAAGAATAGTCGGCCGCTTATGCGGCCTTGTCATGTCTTTTTGGTGGTCTTTTTGGTGGTCTTTTTGGTGGTCTTTTTGGTGGTCTTTTTGGTGGTCTTTTTGGATGTTCTTTCACATGTCCTTCTTAGGTGTATAAGAAGACGGTAGAAAGAAGCACGTTTCTATGTATAACCTTTTGACATTTGGGAAAGCTGAAAATGTACTACCACTTAAATATAAAAGATGAAACATGCACGCATTCGTAATTGATATTATCTATGTACTCGTCACCAAAAGTAATATATACAATCCTGGGCCACTTGCGGTCTTCCCAACGTAAAATAAAGAATATGGAGATAACAAAACAATAAACGCCTATCCGAATTTCTCGACGTATTCCACCTTGCGCCTGCCGTAACATGGGGGAAACCCCAAGCTAAGAAACCAAAAGAAAGAAAGAAAAAGACAAGACAAGAAATAATCAGCATGCTGTCGACCCTCGCGAAATATTTTGCAACGACGCATCAGCCCTCAACCGAATACCTGGTGCATAGCAAAGACTATACAACTCGTCGACGTAAGTCATAGGCGTAGCCTCAGCACCACCGACAATAACCGCCTTCGAGTCCCGAATACCAAGATTGTTCTGATTTGACCTCTCATGAAGATTGGTATAATCAACGCGAACCTCCTGTCGAACAGTGATATCCCGCAACGCAGTCGCCGTATGATCCACAATCGATTCCTGAGAGTTTCGTGAGCCGGAGCTCGAGTGCAAAGTCGGCGAGCTCTTGCGGGACGACCACAGACGCAAAATAGCCATTTTAGCCGAAGAGGTGATATCGTGGTCGCTAGCGTTCGGGCCTGAGTGCACGTCTGTGCAGAAGAGTTCTTGACCCAGTTCGCGGGCGAAGTCATCATTGTCGCTGAAGGCTTCGTTTACTTGTTGCTGCACGCGGAAGAGGCGGAAGGGGGTGAAGGTGTAATCTGGGTTGGAGATTTGGGTGTCGAGTGTGCCGACGACGCAGAAGGTTATGAGGGTGCAGTTGTTTCGCATGGTTGTTTCGGGATTGGAGGGTCTGCTGCGGCAGGGAGCTGTCAAGGGGCGGGAGGATAGTTGCGCTGCTCCGCGTATGTCTTCTGGGATGGTTTGCGAGAGGGACATGATGGATTTGATGAAGTGGCCACGGAAGTCGGATAGGTTGGGGAAGGCTTGCTCTGCGGCGGTTGATTGCAGGTATCGGATGCATGCTTCCATGGACCACCCTTCCATGTGGGAGATGAGTTCTAAGTGGTGGACTTGGAGTTGTTTGATGGGGAGAGTGGCGGATGGGAGGGGGTTTCCAACGCCCTTTGAGGTGAGTATCTCGAAGTGATCGTGGATTGTTGGGCGCATCATGAAGGAGATGAGGTGCACTCCCTCGTCAAAGCCGCGATTTGAGCTTGCGTAGTCGCGCATATCGCGGAGGGACTCGGTTAGGTTTGCTTCGGGGACGTGAATGCGTCGGGAAAGCATTCCTGTGACATGCTCGATGGTTGCGAACCGGAATCCTTGTGATCCCAAGCGTGTTGCTTCATGCTTCTCTAGCTGGCGAACGGTGAACATTATTTGGCCCTTGCCGGTGCGGAGGGACGAGCGGCCCATGGCTTTAGAAATTCGAGAGATGGGGATAGCAGTAGAGATAACGTCGTCGTAGAGTGTACCTAAGTCCTGGAGAGGCAGAGAAAGTTGATTGGAGAGCTCTTGGGCTGTGACACAGAAGAGTTGCTTGAACAGGGTATCAAAGTCAGTTTGCAACTCCGTATCCTGATCCATAATCACTCCTCGGGATAGCATGTGTTTCTCAATGGCACTTTCTTCGGAATTGAGGCGGTTTCGCATGAAGGGAATTAGATCTTTCACGACCGGCCAGTTCCGAGTTGCCCTAAACGCCCACAGGAATGTAGGGTGGGTGCGGGTGAGGTCGTCATCTTTGAATGTCTAGTTTGCAATGCATTAGTCAAGATTCCGGCTATAATATAGTAGGCAATGGACATACCCGTCCGATATAATGATCGACAATCTTCTTCGTAGGAAGCATAGCCTGCGTCGTAACCATGATTCGTCCAGTGGGATCAAAGTAGGCACAGGCAAGAACAAGCTGATTAGCACGTGTCGTCGACTTTCTGCGATTTCGCCCAGCGATAATAGCGCACATCGACAATACCACACATGCAACACAGGCCTATAGAGCTGTTAGTCCCCAAAAGCCCCGAGACTGTCGAAGATGACTCAAAACATACCAGGACAGCACAGACAATAACAACCTGACTCCTCGACAACTGAGTTCCCTTCATGAGCCCACGGTTGTGATCCAGATATACCGTTCCAGCAGCGGCAGTCCAATGCATGCCCGAGACAGCACCTGCCAATAAGCAGGCACAGATTCCTCGTCTCCACCAGCTATCAGTCCAAGCCGCTCTCCAGCGGAAGAAGATACCCAGAGCAGCAGTACTAGAGAAAATAGCGATGATTGCCGAGCCCACGACGTTGGCGACATGGTAGGAGCACCTATAGTTCGAGATTCCGAGTTGACCGACGTAGTGCATACCGCAGACAGAGCTACCAGTGAGCAGGCCTCCGAGAAGGATGCGAAGATAGCTTGCCTTCTCCTCAACGCCCACGGCGTAGAAGGCAAATAGCAGTACTACCACGGGCAGCACAAAGGAGGTACCTGTGAAAGCGACATTGTATAGGACTTGCACGTCTGCCTCGCCATCGCCCAGGACGATGGCGCGGTTGCCGATAAAGTGCATACACCAAATTCCTATGCCGCCCATTGTGATCGATGAAGTTAGGAGAAGGTACCTTTTTTTTTCTTTTGATTAGTTACATGCTTAAATGCTGGAGTTGGTATGATAGAGTCTTAGGGCATACCAGTTGAATAGACCGGACCTCGATGTCCGCCGGTGGAGCAGCTCCAATGTGGTTACGCATCCCATTGCACTGATCACATAAGAGAGGACGATGTACCCCGCCAGGTACCTGACGTGCACCAGGGGTTCATGGTCTGTCGTCGACATTGTGAAAGAAAGAGAGAAATAGGTGTTGGTATTCCGTTATTCGCACATTGGCGAGTAGTATGTATAGTTGGAGGGTACAATGGTCGAAGACGACTGTTCTAATCAATATAAACGTGACCACATGGAGAGATGGATGTTTAGTATCAGTGTAAAGAGCAAAAGAAAAGACATAAAAGATCACAAAGTCCAAATTAGTGGAACAGGGCTAGAAATAAACATCTTATAACACCAGGGTACATCAGCCAGCCCAAGCCCCCCTCTACCCGGATATTATAGCTCCACGGTACGCAAAATCCTCCGATTCCACGTTAACAAATTAATTGACGTGTACCACCATGGCGCCTTAGTCCGATCTAGACGTGAACTCTACTAAATGGGCCATGCATTGGTCTGTACGTGACCCCATGTCCACAACTCGCGTGGCATATACCATCAAAACACACCGAAAAAAAGAAAAGAAAAAGATCAATGCCGAGGTCGACGCCTGAAAAAGTTTGGATTAAATTAATTTGATCCAATAGCACGGGATAAACCACAGGGGTCAGCCCAAAGCCTGGTTTGAATGTGGATTTGGTGTTGCAACCCGAGGTCTTCAACCCACTTCGATTCGCTGAGATCTAGATCGGATCGGTGCGGATAAGGAACTGTGGGGGGCAAAAGGCCGTCTTAGACGTATCAGAGTCCTCACACAACGCCAATGGCCCGTGAGCATCGGACTTTAGTCTATTAAGTCACCTTGTGGGAATATACTTTCCCGAGTCTCGATTTGAGACAAGTCCGATAATAGGGTAGTTAACCATGGAAACTTTTGTAGGCGGGGTCTCCGAGATTGTTTTTTTCTCTTTATGGAGTACGGAGCTCTCCGACAATATACAGGATTGTGGTTTAGTCTTCCATTTAGATTAATTACTGGAGCCTTAAAACTAAACTAATAAGCGACCTCAGCTGCACATCAGCTGCGGTAAAATCCCAGAGAAAAGTTAAGGGCCCACTTTGAAGCCCTTTTGAGATCTCTCTCTTATAAGTTATACAACATACTCCGCACATAAGAGTAGACCGTTCTTCCGGATATGCATGTTAAACATATTGATCAATCACATTAACCTACTTGCCAACATGAACGCCTCCGCGAACGCCATGGAGAGCCCAAAATAAGAGGTCTCCGGAGACCGGCACGGACCCCTGGATTACAAGGATGAAAGTGCAGGGTATATTGTACCGAAGTTATGATTGAAGGATTCGCTAATTATTAATTTAAAAAAAGGTGTCCTCGGAGAAATCAGAAAAAAAAAAAAAAAAAAGATCAAGTGTGGGCCTAAGGCCCCAAGTCCCACATCCTTGAAGATGTGTATATAGATTAAATCCCGGAATTAAGGCGTAGCCCAAGCGCTTTTCTTATTTCTCTTTTTATTCTCTCGATGAATCACAGGAATTGAAGTAAAAGCAGGTTTATCCAACAGGCAAAATTCCGATCGATCTGGTTTTCAAGTCCACTCGGAATGTAGCGTCGTCGGCTAAAGAAGACCCGATTTCGACTTCGGGTTCGACGCCTCTTTGCCCACTTGCGAAAGTTTTTTTTTTTTTGGCACCTTATACGTGGTGGATATGTTATAAATGGCAACCTTGGTACTCCAAACATATCTCGGTGGGTGTGATGGATCTACCATTCTCTGTCAAGGCAAATGGACCGAAGGCACCAACGGCCGTCACTTGTCAACCGCGTGGCTATGATGCATAAGATATATCAGAAGATGTGTCGCAAAATTGAGGCTTGTTGTAGGTGCCCAGTGGCTTTAGAGTGGGTTCGGGGATGATCACATGTTAAGCCGCTTGTGCAAGGTTTGATATAGATCAGTTCTGTCTCACTTCTATCTCTTCAACCTCCTCTCTCTCTCTTTTTCTTTGTTTATCTCGCCTACTCTTACTAGAAGTACTTGATAAGAAAAGTTTAAAAAAATAAAATCAAGGTCTTGTCATTGAAGCATAGAAAGCGCCCTACGTTGTATCAACTCCACTTCCAACGATGGCTACCTCTTCGTCTGGGGCTGACGTTCCTCCCAGTCCTTCTTCAGCATAGACATGTTCACTTCGTTCCACCACTCACCATCCTTGAAGTAACATTCTTTCCTTTCTCCCTCTGTGTGGAACCCGACCTCATCACATAGCTTGCCCATTCGCAAATTCCACGACGGAATATTCACCTCTACCCGGTGTAGATTGGCACTGTTAAATGCCCACTTCAAAGCCCAGTTGATCGCCTCAGCTTCATAATGTCGGTGCTCCTTCTCGATGCTGACTTCCAACTGGGAGCATCGATGATGGACCATATCTCGATGAGATGATTTCAAGAAAATTGTACCAATGGGAAAACCGCAGTAGTACTCATTGTTTATGTAGGCAATCACAAACAAATGTGATCTCCTCTGGAGGTGTTTGGCAACGCGGGAGGTGAAATTAACGTCCATCGGCCGTGGGGTTGATGCACACCAGTTGATGATTGAAGACGAAGATGTTTGAAAAGAATGAAAGAACTCATCATCTTCTTTAAAATTGTAGCTACGGAAGTCTAGATTCTCAGAGCGGAACGCCTTTGGGATGGACGCTCTGTGGTCATCCGCATCACTCTTTGAATCAGGACACATACTTGAGGCGAGTGATTACTCAATGCTCAAGTTAGCTGGGGATGTGAATGGATATGGGAGATGGAGAGAGGGACGATGGAAAAGATACAACAACTCACGGTTTATATAGGCAGCTATTGAATTGTTTGTTGTCCTGCAGGCACAACTCCCCTCTCTCAGCTCTTCACATTGCACTATGCAGTTCAAACCTAACACACTCTATGGCTATTTGCCAGTCATGGGTACACGTAGGTATGGGTAACCATCTGCCATTTTCGCGAAATCAAACTTGTATCTCCGATATTCTCCCACTCAAACTTCCCTTTGATAATGTTGGAAATACATATTGTCAACCTACGTACCCAATTAGAGTTCGATATTTGAACGGGAATGGGGCATACCTACATAGGTATATTACTGTGCTTGAACTCTAGTGATCTGCATATTAAACATCAATGCTTTTTCTACAATAGTTCACAAAAACTGTGGGGAATTCCACTGCAGGTTGCTGCACGTAATCTGTCGATCGGGCTGCATGCAAGCTATAGTACAGAACTTGTACAAAATGTACACTTAATTCAACCCTCAAGTCCTTGGTACATAACTCTTTTCCCAACATATGTATTTTTATTATAGAAACAGCACAGTATATTAGCCAACCTGACTTCCAAACAAAGTCAAACAACCTCATCGACAAAACAAAAGCAAGCGAAGAGTCTACATCGCAAAGACACCGAAATTTGTGGAATGGTATGTATTCAGTATTTAATTAGATCGCCCATCCCTCCAAAGAAAAAAAAAGATCATAGATCAATGGTATGAACAAGCAAGAATCTCAGTTTTCAAATCTATGCAAGGATAGCCTTGAGACCAGCCTGGATGGCAGGGGGGTTGGCACCCTTGACCTCCTGCTTGCGCTCACCACCGTTGTAGAAGTGGAAGGTAGGCATAGCAGAGACACCGTTGGCAGCGGCAACCTCGGAGAGGTCATCGACGTCGACCTTGTAGAACTGAACGTTGGTGTGCTCCTCGCTGAGCTTCTCGAGGGCAGGGGCGATGGCCTTGCAGGGACCGCACCAGACGGCGTGGAAGTCGACGACGACGGGGCCGGTGGCCTCAGTGACCTTGGTCTTGTACTCCTCGACGCTGGAGAACGAGTGTTAGCTGGTGTGTCTATAATGTTTTGCGAAATGACCGGGACGAATGTGTAGGACATATTTCCAGGATCCAAACACAGATGCGAAAGCGGGGGTATATGAATTAAAAGTCGGACTTACGAGGTGATAGGAGTGACACCCATTTTGAGAGAAGAAGGCGTGAAGCGCGGGATAGGTGTGGAAGAAAAGGGTCGGAAAGCGGTGCGCTGGACGGAAGTCGATCGGTTGAGTAGCGATGAAATTCCGGAGATTGTTCTGGGAGTAGAACGAAGAGACGAAGGCTTGAACTGGAGTGGATATAAGTATTTCAATTGGAGGGGTAGAGTGAGGGGCGCTGGGTTTTTATAGGGCCATGACGTTCCCAGCAGAGGCGATTAGGTAAGACGAGCTGAATAATGGATCGGAGCTGGCCCCGGTCTTGGAGGTCCGGAAGTCTCTGGAGCTTGCTGGGCGTTCGACTGGGATTTTTCCAAGGCTGCGAAGATTTCAATGGAGACTTACCATGTTGAGATTTGTCAGTACTTTCCGTATTCTTTCGTACCTGGTTGATATCAAATGTCGCTGATCAAGAGAGGTGAAGCTGACAGGGAATGACGTGCTCCCCGACCTCGGGAGGTTGGGTCGCTTACGAATAAGATGGAGTCTGGAACTGTCAGCATTTCCCGATCTGCCCAGGTGGGCACACCACATACAAACAGACTACATAGTTACTACATAACAATATATGTAGTATGTACTTATCCTCGCAAAGCTCATCAGGTTGTTTGTCAGCTGGAGGTAAGTTTTACTTATTATGTTGTACAACTACGCTAAGAAAAGGGTTAGAGCGCGTATATATAAACCTAATACGGGCCAACTAGGACCTAAAATAACGGAAAGATATCCGCGCAGCCTTTATATTTTACTTGTACAAGGTAGCAGACGGCTAACGGGCTTCCAGAAACTGCCATAAGTGAGGTCTTTTAGGCTGTGGCTTTGCTGAATCTCATGCCACGCACCCCCTACTTCCACCAATGCCCAATCTCCGCTTAGCACAGCAATAAGACATCCCTCGAGTTTTCTATCATTCCTAAGGGCGTCGCGCCTGTGTCTTTGATCTCCACACTATACCCACCATAGAGCGGAAAGACTAAATTTACTCTCGCCCGCCAATAACAACATCAAAGCACAGCCAACACCTTAGTTCAACACCTTAGTTCCGTTTATATCTACCCGCGACTTTGGCGTAAGCGCCTCGATGAGTTGGGCGCTTGGCACAGCGAACTATGATAGGCAAACAGTGCCTATTAGTGCATAATCATGCGACTAGGCGCATTTATGCACTTTTCGCTCTCTACTCCTTATGCCATGGGATTATCCCACGTGACTCTACACGAGTCAGGCTGGTGCGGCTGAGCGAGAGAGGGCGCTGTCTTTGTTTTCGATAACTGTTCACGGGTGACACTTCAATCCCGGCCGGGCTCACTTCTAACCATGGCAAGAACAGAACTTGTGAATGATATGAAACTGGACGCCGAGGTTCATCCCGACGGCACCTCACACCCCACCTTTCAACCCGACTACGCCCAAGGAATCACTGGCAGATGGCGGCCGAAGGTCGAAATCTGGAGGAGAGGGAAGATACTTGGCGCAGGGACATTCGGGACAGTCTGGATTGAGAAATGTGTACCAAGTGAAGGCCCCGCTAAGGTGCGAGCTGTGAAGATGGTCAAGAAGTCATCGAATCCTTCCGAACAGATGTACTGTGATCAAGAACTCGAAGCTATGGCGAAGTTTTCTCGACCAAGGGTGGGTACTATGCTCAAATGAATTCATTATGTGGATGTTGATATCGATTAGTATTCAGGGTTGTTCGTAGAATGCTTAGGGTGGTTCGAGGATCGGCATTTCATCTTTATTGCCATGGAATATATGAAGTTGGGAGATCTTCAACACCATCTTCGCGGCCCATTACCGGAAAGCGAAGCACGGCAAATCTGTACTCAACTTCTACGGGGTATTCAATGTCTGCACGACAATCAGTTCGTCCACCGAGATCTCAAACCCGGGGTATGTTTCCTAGGACTGACTGGGTCAGATTAGGTCGCAGAGTCACTGACTATATAAGAATGTCTTGGTCGTGAACGAGGGGCCTAATTGGCACGTTAAAATTGGCGATTTCGGCGTCAGCAAACGGTACGAAAGGGCCGCCTTGCAATCGAAGGTGGGCACTCCGCTTTACCTGGCACCCGAATTACTTGGATTGTACCCTCCTGGTATGAGCTTGCAGAAACTCCGCCTCTATACACATCGCGTTGATATTTGGTCACTGGGCGTGATGGTGTTCTATCTCCTTTGCCACGACTATCCATTCCCGAGCGATAACAGCCTCTCGTTGTACGTCCGGACTTCCAACTTCCCGTCCTACCGCAAACTTCGGTCTGTTACCCAGGAGGGCCAAAGATTTCTCGAATCTCTTTTGGCTGCAGATGCGACAGTGCGGTTGTCCGCTAAAGAAGCTCTCCAAGACGGATGGTTGAAACAACCATCCTTCGACCCGATCTCAGGAATTTCGCGTATGGGCCTTTCCGAAACATCGGGTTCAAATCCAATAGACACTACTAACGAAGCTTCGAGAGGCTGGGGTGACGGAGAAGTTTCTTCCGTAAAAGTTGACGACCAAACAAGCTGGACCGCATGGAGGCCACAGAGCAAATCCACAGGCCTACAGCAGTCCAAATCTGTGGGACAGACTCCGGTCTCCGGTCTGCCGGATGACTTGAACACGGCTCATAACAAAGGGCTGTCGTTACTGAGCCAAAAGCAGCATGCAGACGCTCAGAAAATGCTGCAGAAGGCTGTTGAATTGCGCGAACATGCTTTGGGTGCCTATCACGAAGACACACTGGCTTCTCTTACTTTATTGGGCGATGCTCTTGTTGGCCAGGAGAAGTATGCTGAAGCCGAGGCTATGTATCGAAACATCTGGGTGAGACAAAGCCGAGCTCTTGGCGAGAAACATGTCGACACCCTCAGATCTCTATACATGCTAGGCAAAGTCCTCAACAACCAAGGTAAGAATGTCGAGGCCGAAACCGTGTGCCGGGACGCCTGGGAAGGCGGGGAGCGGGCTTTGGGAGAAGTCCATAAAGACACGTTGGCTTCTCTTCATGAATTAGGCGATGCTCTTACCTGTCAAGATAAGGAGGCCGAAGCCGAATTTGTATACCGGAACGCCTGGGAAGGGCGGAAGCGGACTCTGGGAGAAGCCCACGAAGACACGCTGGCCTCTCTTCATGGATTAGGCGATGCTCTTACCTGTCAAGATAAGGAGGCCGAAGCCGAAGTTATATTCCGGAACGCCTGGGAAGGACGGAAGCAGACTCTGGGAGAAGCCCACGAAGACACGCTGGCCTCTCTTCATGGATTAGGCGATGCTCTTACCTGTCAAAATAAGGAGGCCGAAGCCGAAGTTATATTCCGGACCGCCTGGGAAGGACGGAAGCGGACATTGGGAGAAGCCCATGAAGACACGCTGGCGTCTCTTCAAAAACTAGGTGGCGTTCTTAGCTTCCAAGATAAGCATGCCGAAGCCGAAAGCGTGTACCGGGACGCCTGGGAAGGGCGGAAATGGGCCTTGGGGGAAGCCCATGAAGACACGCTGGCGTCTCTTCATGACTTGGGTGATGCTCTTCTCCGTCAAGATAAAACTGGCGAAGCCGAAGACGTGTACCGGGACGCTTGGGAAGGTCGAAAGCGGACTCTTGGCGAGGATCATTATCAGACCATGTCCTCTCTACAGGCATTAGGCGATACTCTTACCAGCCAAAAAAAGCATGCCGACGCCGAGCAACTATACCGACAGGCCTGGAAGGCACGCAGAGAAGCGTTTGGAGCAAAAGATGAGGACACACTTAGGTTACTTCATTGCCTAGCCCAGGCACTTCATTACCATGGAAAGCACACTCAAGCCGAAGTGTTATTTCGGAAGGCCTGGGAGGGGCGTAAAGAAACCCTTGGAGTCAACGATTTCGGGACACTCCAGTCTCTTGACCGCCTGAGTTCAACTCTCACTTGGCAACACAAGTGGTCCGAAGCAGAAACATTACAACGTCAGGTTTACAAGGGTTATCGGGAAATGTTTGGAGCAAGCCACTCGGAAACCCTTAGGTCTCTTCACATCCTAGGCCAAATTCTTAATTCTCAGAGCAAGTACGCCGATGCTGAAGTTGTATTTCGAAAAGCCTGGAAAGGGCGCAGTGAAACCCTTGGTGCAAACGACGAAGACACACTGGAATCTCTGGATTACCTACGCGATGTTCTTCGTGTCAGTCCGCCATCGAAAATAACGGCACGCAAGCCCAAGCGCAGTCTACGAGAAAGTCTGGGTTCATTCTTGAGATGATGCGCCGTCAGCTTGTCTGCAATGCATAGGTCCCCCCTTCTACCGTGACAACTGTCATCCGCGACGAAGGCCAATCTCCTATACTCATTCCCATCGAACTACATGCTGTATTGAATGATTCAATTGACCATTTTATCATTGGAAGTCATGTTGCATATTAGAAATGCGCGATATCAAATACTTGAGGAACGACGGCCCATACTTCCTTGGCTGCCCATTTTGGATGACCCTAGCTTTATTGGCAACTTGAAAGTGCTGAGCTCTGAGTTGCCAGCAACATGCTACTCTTCTTCTTGAGGGATGAGATGACTGGCAATCCTCCCATTTTTCTATAGCTTTCCAGACCTGCAATTCTTTTAGTCAATGATCACCAAATCATGGGAGGCGACAATGTGTAAGATCAAGAGTTGCGGACAGTGTTATTTATCGGTAGAGATATTAGATCCCTTTTCTCACAGCAAAGTACATTTGGCAAGCAGTGTCTATTGGTGGATAATCATGCGGCTATAGTAGCCGCATTTATAGGGCACTTGACTCTCTGTATCATGTGATCCTCGACGTGTCAACCCAGTGCGGCTGAGCGAGAGCGCTATATCCCTCAGAAACCCTTAGCTTTCTAAGCTTCATCGAATACTGAAGATCAAAGAGCATACCCCATTGGTGTACCATGAGCGGCTTAGAGATTGGGCTTGCTTTGCCCGGTATCATTGATTTATGTTTAACGTACGTGGCTATATATATAGGCCACTGCGCATTGCCCTGTACTAATGTTCCTCAGATACGGAAAAGACATTGTGACCGCATACAAGGATTTCAAACATGCTGATGAAGAGGTCGAAGAGCGTAAACTTGCTATCGACGCTGCTTGGGCCAAAACATCAGAACAATTAGCCTTTCTACGTCGTGTGTGGGATAGACTAAGCGAAAATTACCGGGACCTCCAGAGCCGCATGCTTCGTCATTTCGAGAAAAAGCTAGAGGCTGCCGTGAGGGAGCTCAGCAAACTTGACGATCAGGCCGCTAAGAGCGGAAGTCGGTTGCTAGGCAAGTCAAAGGCAGCGAAATATGCTTTGTTGAAAAAGGAATCGCTCGACAGGGCAATCCAGAATCTTCGAGTGTGGCAAAATGAGTTCGATACGACCTGGTACTTGGTTCTGCTAATAGCCGATGAGGCCATTGACAAAGCGTTGGTCAAGCGCACAGGAACTGAGAAATTATCTGTTGCTAGACATGTACGGAGTGCGCTACGACCAGAGCCACAACGAGAGGCTACGGTTTTCCTTTCCGGAAGCAAGCTTCAGTCTGCTAAACGCTCTGAAATCCCATATTCAACATCAGAAGTGGTCGAGATTGCGGGCGGCGGTACGTTTATCTTGGATTCTGCGGACTGTTCGTCTAGAAAAGACGCTGTCACATTCTCAAAGAATGTACGGAGCCTAGCTATAAGACTTCAACAGGTCGATGCGAATGGATTTCATCTCCTTAAATGCCATGGTGTGGCTCGCATAACGGACCCAAACACTAAGCAGCTTCTCTCATTCGACTTCATCTTCAACTTCCCCAAAGGATGCCAGAAACCCCAGAGTCTTCGGAGCCACCTTCTCTCCCGCGTAACCCATTCTCTCAGTGACAGAATCAGTCTTGCTAAGCAGCTTGCCACATCTATCAGCTATATCCATGTCCTGGAATTTGTGCACAAGAATATTCGCCCAGAGACTATTTTGATTTTTGAAGGCGTTGGATCTCATCTAGGTCCATTATACTTGCTAGGATTCAGAGCATTTCGCATGGCTGACAACAAAACATTACGACTGGGCAACTCTATTTGGTCTGAAAACATCTACCAACATCCTGATCGACAAGGAAGCAACCCCTGTGTGGACTATGTCATGCAGCATGATATATACAGCCTCGGAGTATGCCTCCTCGAGATTGGACTTTGGGATTCACTCGTGAGTAGCGAAGGAGACGCAAATGGCTCGCTAGCTGGTGTGAACTGTGATCCTTCGACCTTCAATAGAGATAGTTCGCTTAAGGATCACTTCATGACGTTGGCGAAGAAACAGCTACCGATTAGAATGGGAGAGATGTACACGCAGGTTGTTGTTAACTGTCTAACTTGCATGGATGAAACGAACGAAGATTTTGGCGATGAGAGCGAATTCGAGGATGGCGATGGCATCCTGATTGGGGTCAAATACATTGAGAAGGTATAGTACTGTCTATTCATTGCATGAATGTAATGGAAGAAATCCAACCGGACTAATAACTAAACAGATTCTTCTTTTGCTCGGTGAAATAACGGTCTAATTCGATAGGAGGACCCACATGTTACTCCCCTGAGTGCGTGATCAGCAGAGAGGTTATTCCATAAATACAAGATCAGAGTAGCGATTGCATATGAATTTATAGATGCTGTCCATGCTCTCCACTCTACAGAACGAGCTTATATATATGGATATACGGTAGAAGTATACATAACGGATCGAATGTCCCTAGACTCTCCTATACAGACAGTATGATGTAGACCAACTTCCCAAGTATGGAGCAGGAAAGTTTAACGTTGAACACCGTAGGCCGTGATATTAGAAATACAAAAACCACCCAAACAGGATGCCAGCAATGGCTGTTGGGCTGTACTAAATACATGGAATCAATAGGAAGTTCAAAAATATCATCATGACTAGATCTCAATGTAAGATAAACACTGCTTGAGAAATTGAAATCAGTAAATTCCCAAAGGAACATGTCTTATCAATATCAGCAATGGAAAGGTAGAATCAAAAGGACCAGAAGCCAACTATGTGCAACGAAGAAAAGCGCTTGAAGGGGAATAAGAATTTATCAACTTGGTTATGTATTCAACAACAGGAATAGGAAGAAATAGAATTCATGCATATGGTAAAGATAAAAACATGGGGCGGCGAGGGGGTATCAACAGATCGAATGGCAGAAATGAGGTCGCAAAGGGGAATAATGGGATACAGGGCGAGGGGGGATATCGGAATCGTACAGGTGGCCAAAGGATAAACCCAAGGCTCATGGGAGGATATTTTGACAAAGGAAAGTGACAAAAGAAATTGACAAAGGGAAGGTTCAAAGGACCTCAGTATTTCGTCTTAGTCCTGGCGACGGTCGACAGGCCAGCGGTGCCCGTTTACCATGCCATGACACGGCGATAAATGAGGTAATGGTAGATCCAGTTTGGCTGATGTTAAATAGCGATAGTGATCACTAATACCCAGTCTATTCGGCATAACCAATCTCGGCTTTCGCGCTAGGGATCCGGTGCAGTTCCGGAGTTGTCTCCTCCATGATGTAATCTTCTTCTGCGGAGATGGGGGTCAAAGAAGGGAATCCTCTAAGCAATCCCTGTGTAGACTTGGGACGGACCACCGGGTTCACCAGAACAGCACGGCGACCGACCTCGTTGTGCCATCTTTCAGCGGGGTTGCTTGCTGGGCTGTCTGTGGCTTCCGGTTCGAGCTCTGGCTCACCAAGAACATTGCTGCTAATACGGCGGGACTCATCCAGTGATTCAACCTCTTCGGGGGCATCTGCGGGGGACTCCAACGAGTCTCGGCCAAATGAGTTCAAATTCGATCGAACAGGGCTGCTGGGCTTTTGTGACATCCGCCGGAAAAACTGGCCGGACATCCAAGATCCCTCAGAATCAATTGAAGCCAAAGATTGGGAAAGTGGCACATTATCGGCTTCAATGTCCATACTATCCGAAGCCCATGACCGATGATGGCTTCGGTTCGGGTTTTTGATATCCACGCCGGGGCTAGGTGTTGGTTCGTGCAAGAAAGTCTCATCCCTTTCGAGAGAGGACTCTAGAACTTCCTCCGGAATATCTGGCGACTGTAGGCGGGAATCAGGAGGTGACAGGGGTTCGTCACCAAAGTGTTCAGTGAACTTGGATTGAGAGCGCTTGACGGTTCCAGTGGGCATTAAGATTCTCGGAGGGATTATTGAGGGCGGAGGAGGTGATGACTGGGTCTGAATTTTGTAGAACGATTCATGCGAGGCGTTGGTAACTTCAGGAGTAGTGTCGTGGAATCGCTCTTTGTATGTCCTCTTGAGACGAGAAGAACCACGCCGGAAGAGGGAGGTGATAGTATTCCCCCGACGACCACTGGTGTCGGAAAGTCGGCGTTCTGAGTCAACCCCTCTAGAGATGTCCGATGTGGAGCTGGGTGCACAGATTTGTGACTGGCTTGGGGTATTTAGCCCATGGCGAAGTGACGAATGAGAGGGAGAAAGGGTAGTCCGGGACATGGTAATATCGTTTGACGGGGCGAAGCTAGGACGTTGAACCAATCTTCGCTCACGAACGGAACCATCATCGATGGTTCCAACTACGCGAGAGCTTTCTCTCGATTCGCGTCCAGTGTTCTCGCTGTCCTTGGAAGCTCGCAGCGGCCACGATTCGTTCTCCGGTGCGACAGCCGTTGGTTCTTCGATTTGAGGGGCGATGGTCTCTTCGTTCAAGACAACATCCTCAGGCTCGGCAACTTCAGCGATTGACGGCTCGGGTTGGGCGATTTCGGGTTCAGGTTCGGGCTCGGCGTGGGTGGCGGCCTGGAGTTTTTGTTCCTCCGCCTGCTGAGCATCAGCCCTCTCCTGCAGCTTCCGCCGTAACCTTTCCTGGTCGTCGACCTGCTTCTTCTCCCGGCGGCGACGGTCACGATCCAGCAGCTCTCTCAAAGCCCCGGCATCTAATGAATCAGCGAGTTCATTCACTCGTCGCTTAGAATAATAGAAATCTTCTTCAGACATGGTCATGGCCTGAAGCCTCTCTCTTTCCTGCCGGCTAGAAGCGGGCGGGTTACTACTTCTGGCGGTCTGCAGACGGGGGGGCCTCGACGTAACGAACGATGGGTCGTGGAGTCAAGGCAGCAAAAGCGTTGACCTTGTAGGTGTATGGGTCGGAGATGTCAGACGTGGAGGAGGTGGCGGAGTCACGGATGGAGAGGCTGATGTCAGACATATATCGGTCGGCACGCCTACCATTTGCCTTTCGGCGGCGATTTTCCAGTGCATAATCAGTTGGACGATGGGGGATATCGATGGGGGTGGACGAGAGCATGCGAATCTCACGCTCGCGCATGATCTCGTTTGCCTTGCGCTTGCTCAGCTTGCGTCGTAATTTATTCGGGACATGCGCATTTTGGCTTGGTTTCCGCCTCAACAGCGAACCTGTTCTTGAGAGTGGATGATCACGTGGCGGGGGGTCCCGTGGATGATCGGCAAGGGAAGCAGGGCGATCTAGTGATGAGATAGGTCGATTTGAAGGCACGAGGGCCGAGCTGCGCCGGCTGTCTGCAGCATCCGCCCGTGACGTGCGGTTGGTTTGGCGTTTGGATTGTTTGCGGCCCAATGTAGGCTCCATGGTAGGTTCGGCAAACGAGGAATGAAGGTCAGCAGCTTCGGCACCGGTCACTTGGATGGTGTGCCGCTTGCTCTTGCGACTAAAGGGCCATATCGCCATAGCACTTTGGGGGCACAAGCCCAGGGACAAGTGGGATCAGTTATCGGTATCAGGTTGGTGTGATGATAGTTTGGCTGAACTCATGGAGGGTGGAACGGAGAGTTGAGGAAAGTGACTGGGAGTCAGGGTGATGACACAGGTGTCATGGATAGTTGGTAAAGGAAGGAAGGTTGAAAAGGTCAAGTTCTATCAGAGGGAAAGAGACAGGGAGACAGGGAGACAGGGAGAGAGAGAGAGAAAGAGGAAGGAGAAAGAAAGGAAGTAAAAAGGTGAAAGGGCCGAAAAAAGAAAATAGAAACGCCCAAAGGGAAATCAAGAAATGGACCTTTTTTGTTTTTTTGTCTGAAAAATAGAAAAACCTTGGCATTTGCTTTCTTATTTTTTATTTTACTTCTATTATATTATATTGTTTATTGTGGATTGTGCATTGTTTATTGTGTATTATACATTCTATTCTACTATACGTAGTACCTACTTCTATACAAAGTCATGTTGACAGTGACACGGGTACCTGGTACCTTGATCCTAAGTTGGTAGACAATTCTTCAAAAGTCTGTCACACAGAGAGTCTAGATTTCCTTTTTGGAAATTGGCAGTTGACCTGTGGGGGAAAAGAAATATCCACTTAGGGTGGACTCCAGAATGACGCACTGTTTATGACTATTATAAATATTATAAATCTACATCCCTTTGGGATACATTATTGAAATCTTCTATCAGATTGAATAGATGTATAATGAATAATCTTATTGTCTTAGGTATCTATTCAATAATTCTCGGAAATGAGAGTAATATTGACCCTTTCACCCCTGTACAACCATTCCCTCGTGCCCTCTCACGCGGGAAGGCCAAGCCACCGTTTAAACGCCCAGTGGAGCCCTGAGTCCGTGGTAGCCCTTTCGTTGGGTTGACACGCGGGAAGTCGATCTTACCTATGTACCTAGGTACACACTTATACCATTTGGGGGAAATTTTGTACTTTTTGTAGACTAGTTAGGAGAACCTGCAGGGACTATATGTAAATCAATAATATTGTAAGGGGAAATATATCGTGCCCATACTTGAATAGAGAAATGATCGGCGAATTTTGTTAATGGGAATGTCTTAGTTCGCTCTACTACTCCGTCCGGAGTACGGAGTATAGGATAATAATTTATTACCATTATATTATCTAGTATTATATACCACTAATTCCAATTTCGATGCATATTATATTATATTATCCAGTATTATATACAGAGTACTCTGTATTGTAGTGCCCTTTCTGCCTTGGTTCTATTCAACATTCATATTCAAGGCGTCTAGCAACCCAGTACGACATATGGAGCATGATGCTAATTATATCCATTGAGAATCCAGCGGGTTGCAAGGTGTCAGCAATATTATTTGATTTTGATTCAAGGTGGTTCGGATTAGATCCAGGGTGTTGTCTAGAGCCCCTCCTTGCCTCTATTACTATTACAGATCCTATATTCAATGTTGCTATCCTCCGTACGGAGTATTGTATTCCATATTGTATTCTCTATTGTGTCCACCTTATCTCCCTTGTACAGGTACTCCATACCTCTCCACAAATCATTGATGTTTACAATAACGTGGCTTTACAACATCAATACCACTCCACTTCTGGTCTCAGATTGTTCCACCGTGGTTCCTGCATTTTGATCACAACGGTCGACCTCAGTTACCTCTGATCTAACAACGGAGAACGCTGTTCGGACTTAAAGGCCAAGAATAGCTCAGAGACAACGTCTAAAATCGGGTTTGGCAGGGGGGGTTGAGCCACCAAATCTGCAAGGAGCAGACAGCCGCCATCAAATTCCTGTATTTTATTTTTAATTTTCCATTCAAACACAGACTCATAAGCATTGAGAATATTCGATGGCCCGATCGTATTCCCGATCTCATTCTTCAGTATTTCAATATCTAGACTTTCAACCTCATCCAGTATAGAAGGTTTCTATACATCGCACTCTCAATTTAACATGATATCATAATTCCCATTCCCCAGTCAATACCTATTTGTAGACACTGGAAGGATCGAGGCAAGCCATTGAAAATTCGCCACGAAGGCAACCGCCACCGCAACATACCAAAATCAGCCAGGGCAACTCAGGTCACAACCAATGACTTACACTCTACAGAGTACACATAACCCCAATTGGATCAATCCAAAAAAAATGCGCCTACCCGCTAATTCTAACCAAACGCCGAAAATACAACATGCAGACCCGCATTCCATGCGATACCGGTGAGAGAGAAACGGCGAAACTCGATGAGATATCCAACCCGTGGACAACAAATGTGTGACTTGATAATAGATCTTCCCGTGATCCCCCCGACACTAACCAGATCCGCGCGGACCGGTACAAGTATCATCATCACCGCCAACTGAACCCAACTAAATGAATCCCTCTAGCAATGAAAGAAACTCAGTTGCTCATGCGCTTCCTCAGCCGATTCGGCTCCCGTTCCAGGACGCTGTATTTGCGGCTCCCACGTCGACTCAGAAGGCGTCTGATAGACCAGCCACTGTGGCGGTGGACATCGGATGTAGACCGCAGACCGGAACTCTGGGTTTCAGATCCCAGGTGGAGCTTTTGGTTAGGTCGGGAGCCTGTCGTTGGGGATTGGGCATCCATGGTTTTTTTTTGTTGGTGAGAGCGTTGTCAACGCAAGTGACGTGTGTGGTAGGGCGTTGAGGCGAGGAGCGGGGGTGGCTGATGTCTGTCGGACGGCCGTTGGAATTTCGCGCGTGGATGCAGGTATAGTTTGTTTGAGACTACCTAGGTAGATTGCTTTTGGCGTTTAATTCTCTATGCTTTAGGTTGGAGGTGAGGTTTGCTGGTTTGGTTAGGGACCAGAGAGCGGGGTTGGATCTTGTGGGGCATGGCGGGATACTTTTGTTGATCTTTGATCTTCTACGTAGACAAGGTAGACAAGTAAGTGACTTGGTATTCTCTTTCATGTACGGAGTAGAGCATTCAGGGTTCAGGGCGTTTGGTGGGCATGCAGCTGCACCCTCGTGTGGCCACTTGAAGGTTCTGGTTGTTCCAGGCCTTCGAGGCGATTAAGGCGGCTTAGACCCTATTTTTGCTCGGTGTCAAGTGACACACTGGTGATGCGGAGTCTGACGGTGATCCATTTCTGTTTCAGGTTTCAGGGCCTCGATCGAAATATACAGCCTCACCTATGGACGACGATATATATTGAAGACCGGATCGTGAGAAACGTTATTCTGAAAATTGTACTGTCACAAGGTTTCAAGTTCCTTGATGTCAATACTTTCGTATTCAAGTTGATTAAAGTTCATTAAGCATGCATTTAGGCCCGCGTGATATATTTTAGGCGCAGTTCTATATCACTTGATTGATATTCACAGAACTACAATATGATAGAATAATGCACGATGTACTTGAAAAATGCAAGATGCATAACTAATAGGACTGATGGAATCTTCCACTAATTTAAACCCGATCATCCCCCAGATTCTAATTGGCGGAATATGCTAAATTTGTAAACTAGCCCCGTCTTCATACCCAAAGCTGGCGATCTATGACTCGAACAGGAAACCCTCGGCGTGTCACACACAGAATCCTAGAATTACTATTTCATAACCCACAATATCTTGAGAAAAACCATGTGAAGTACAAAATAATAATCTTCTCCCAAGAACCCCGCATCTGCGTTCCATCATTCTCCGACGAGGATTCTTAATCTCGTACTCGTATTGGCTGGAAGGATCCGGAAGTGTGTGTCAGTTGGGAGAAAAAATAGAAAATGTCTAGAATCTGCTCTGTCAAGTGTCGGTCTAGCTATGTTTATAATGTCTCGAGAGCATGAGATCTCATTGAATGAAGAGTCTTTCTTATCTTTCCATCTATGTGTTTTAACCAGAGAGTTTGACCTGGTTCCAAACCTCCTTACCCCCTGAAACCATCTATACCGCAGACAATACTCCCTCCACTAGCAAAACGCTGGCATCATTTACTTGACCCCGTCGTGGTCTCCTGACACCCTCGAATCATTTCCCATCACATATAAACATCTCATTCATCCTCACCGACTTTCTGATTGAAATCCTTCAAACATGGTAGCTTTGTGGATATTCGTGGCTCTTGGTTACTTGCTGCTGTATGCGTTTGCATCACAGCAAACGCAGGAATGGTGTGTTATCATCAACCGCATTGCCAATTGAGCTTTTTGCCATGATATGATTGGAAGGTTGGGACACAAATGGGCTGCGCTGCCTCGGTTCAATTGTTGCCTTGTGATCAAACAATTCGTTTCATGCTCGGCTGCGGATTGGCATTGTGCGATTCAGGCTTGAATACCCAATCATGAGTTATGATGCACGACGATTTTACGACTTATCCTTTGGATAAAATGAGAAGAGATATGATGGCTGGGGTTACTAGGGCCTAGGGGGGCTGGACAAAGAACTTATCCATGTACAGGGTAAATCCTTCTATGAGGGGTTCCATACATGATGTTCAGCATATAAGACTGCGAAGGGGCTACAACCGGGGTCTTTGATGATTATTGATGATGACGACTGCATGACTTTGATGGAAGGCGTTTGATACCACGGGAGACCAGGCTACAGTTTTGTACTTTGTTTAAAAGACTTGAGATTCACATTTTTTTAATTACTTTTTGCGTTCGATCAAGCCTCTTCTCAAGAAAAGATCCCCCAAATTGAAAACCATTCCATATCCATGTCCATCCATATCGAGGTGTTCGATGACAGGAATAGAGAGGGGTCTGATTTGCCCATGTCCCTGCAGCTTGTGTTTGTGTTGCATACTGGAGATAATGTGACAGATATCCACATTAGATTTGGACGTGTGAAGAGGGGCAATCCCGTCTTGTTCGCTTGAGATGATTCTTCCATATGGTAAGGCCGCATGAAATGCATGTGTCACATTAAATTATTCCCCGCCATATCATCTTGATGAAACTTTTTGAGAGGTTGGGAAATCCACAGCAGAAAAGGCTGC